TTCGGATTCCGATTTTAATTTGCATCAGGATTTTGATTTCGATTTTGTTTTTGGATTCCGATTCCGTTTCCGACTTCAAATTTTAATTTTGAAAATGAAAGCGGAAATGAAATAGGATTAGAATTGAAAGAACGGAAGTGATTTTTTTTTTTTTTCTATTTTAAATATTATCATTATCATTATCATTATCCTTATTATTACTATTATTATTAATATTATTATTATTATTATTAATTTTTAATGATATTTCACGTTTCTTTGTATCGTGTTCTTGTTTATTTATTTTTTTTGCTCGATTTTTTTTTTTTTTTTTTTAGTAAAATACCTCGTTTTTACGGAATGAAGGTGTACCGATCAAACGACGCACGCACGCACGCACGCACGGAAGACGAGGAACAAGGGCACAATTGCACAGAGGGAACGAACACGAAGAAAATAAAAGTCCGGGGATCGAGCGCAAGAGCGAGACCGAGACCGAGATCGAGAGCGAGCGCGAGTGCGCATAAGTAAAAACTCGACGTGCGTCGAGATTCGATTAGTGCAACAGGGGCACAATTTCACCGAGGGAACAAATACGAAGAAAAAAAAAAGCCCGGGGATCGAGCGCGAGACCGAGACCGACACCGAGAGCGTACGGTAAAAACTCGACGTGCGTCGAGATTCGATTAGTGCAACAGGGGCACAAGTGCACCGAGGGAACGAACACGAAGAAAAAAAGCCCGGGGATTGAGACCGAGACCGAGAGCGTACGGTAAAAACTCGACGTGCGTCGAGATTCGATTAGTGCAACAGGGGCACAATTGCACCCAGGGAACGAACACGAAGAAAAAAAAAGTCCGGGGATCGAGCGCGAGAGCGAGACCGAGTGCGCATAAATAAAAATTCGACGTGCGTCGAGATTCGATTAGTGCAACAGGGGCACAATTGCACCGAAGGAACGAACACGAAGAAAAAAAGCCCGGGGATCGAGACCGAGACCGAGAGCGTACGGTAAAAACTCGACGTGCGTCGAGATTCGATTAGTGCAACAGGGGCACAATTGCACCGAAGAAACGAACACGAAGAAAAAAAGCCCGGGGATCGAGACCGAGTGCGCATAAATAAAAATTCGACGTGCGTCGAGATTCGATTAGTGCAACAGAGGCACAATTGCACCGAAGGAACGAACACGAAGAAAAAAGCCCGGGGATCGAGACCGAGACCGAGAGCGTACGGTAAAAACTCGACGTGCGTCGAGATTCGATTAGTGCAACAGGGGCACAATTGCACCGACGGAACGAACACGAAGAAAAAAAAAGTCCGGGGATCGAGCGCGAGAGCGAGACCGAGTGCGCATAAATAAAAATTCGACGTGCGTCGAGATTCGATTAGTGCAACAGGGGCACAATTGCACCGAGGGAACGAACACGAAGAAAAAAAAAATGCGCGGGGATCGAGCGCGAGACCGAGACCGAGAGCGTACGGTAAAAACTCAACGTGCGTCGAGATTCGATTAGTGCAACAGGGGCACAAGTGCACTCAGGGAACGAACACGACGAAAAAAAAAAAGTCTGGGGAAGGAAGATGAGAAATATCGTTTCTTCAGAGATTCCATCTCCTTTTATATGCGTCTCATTCATAGTTACTTTCAACGCAATAAAAGCTATATCAATGAGCATAATAAAAATACAAAGGAAAAGGACCGTTTGAAAGGTTCATTTTATTTTGGTACCCATTGTCATTATTTTTGGTGGTGTTTATAACGTCTATAAACGTTGGCATGAATAAATTAAGGATGGGATCATAATTATATATTGAAATAATATGTAAATAATGAAAAGTCTCACCCCATAATAATTCCTATGTGTGCTATGCCAATAAGATTTACAATAAGGATAAAATTGTTTAAGACATTTATTTAATAAGAATTTTGCTTTGCTTGAAATTTTTGACACTAAAAAAAAAAAAAAAAAAAAAAAAAAATTTCAGATAAATTAGAATGAAATTAATAATTTAAAAAATTATTTAAATACAAAAATAGAGATAAATAATTAAATTTAGTAACGTAAAGTATGTGAAATAATTAAAATGTTAAGTAAATTAATTTAATAGAGTGAATTGATTTATTGACTAGGGTAAATATAGAAGAGAAGAATATATCTGAGCACAATGGACAGATTAAGGTTAATAGAACCTTTAAAAAAAATGTGAGAAAATATAAATTAAAATAATAAAATATAATGAAATAATTAGAATATAAAACAAGAAAATAATTGCTTGAAGAATGAATAAATTGAAGTGAGGTGGGCGTCGGGATAGGAGTAAATGGGAAACAAGTCAGATTAATGAAATTCAAAAAAAAAAAAAAAAAAAGACAATAAAGTATAAAATTACTAAAGTAAAAAATATTAAATAAAATGAAAATAATTAGGATTTTAAATTATAAAAGAAATAATTAAATTATTAGGATAAATGCATAAGATGAATTAAATAAGAAATACGCCCAGATGAAAATATTATAAAATAATAATAATAAACTATACAAAAAAAAACCTACCTTATCCGGCTCGCAAATTGTTGAATATTGAGGTTCGCATTCTTTTATTCCGTCCGTCCTTCAATACTTCATTTTTAGCCCCGCCCTATCCGTCGCATACAGACGTCCGAAACTCACTAGAAATCGCATGTATACCTGAATTTTTTTTTTATCCGTATTTAACGTTTAATGAGCCTTCGACCTGACCTAACGTAAACTAAGGAGAATTTCATAAAACGAAAAAAAAAATAATAATAAATAAAATAAAACAACAACCAAAGAAATACATATATCTATATTTTTGTTTTTTGACATTTTTAAATTTTTTTATTTTTCGCACTTTATTTTAACATAGTATTGTTACGTGTAAATTATGGAATTAAAAATAATAGTATTAATAATTTAAATATTAAAAAAAAAGAAAAACTAAATTTCGAATCTCATTTTTCTTTTTTTCAAAGGCGCAGCCTCTGAAATCATCGCTTTCTGAATGTTTTTAACTTTCTTTGTCAACAAATCCACTTTTTCTTTGACTAGAATTGCTTTTTTCAATGCATTTTCCATGTTAATGTGACATTTTTCTTGAACGTCTTCTGGAGGTTCTAATGCCGATTTTATTATTTTTTGCACTTGTCTCGGAGAATAAGTTTTATTGAGTTTTACAAATATTAGTGTTTCCATGTCTTGAACTCTAGTTTGAACGAATTTCAATTTTTTCCTAATTTTATAAATCTCATCCATTAAACTCCAATTCATCTGAAAATGAAAACATCAAATACAATTTACAAAAAAAAAAAAAAAACTCGAATAATTTATAGTAATATTAATACATACTTCCATGTAATTCATTCCTTCTCCGTAGTTCACATATTTGCTAACTTTGAGCTCTTTTTCTAGAGACGTCACAATATCTTGCAGGTAATTTTTTTGCCGTTGTAGTTCAAAAATACACTCTTGATCACCCAAACGAGCTTTTTTAAAATCTTTTTCTGTTATATATTTGAAATAAAGTTTCTTAAAACAAAATAACATAAATAATAACAACTAGTTAATTAATTTTATCATAAGAAAATGAACACAATTATTATATTAAAAATAATTTTAAACATTATTATTTAATTATAACAATGATTATTTTCATGAAAAATAATTAATTTTTCATTTGACAATATTAAACACATATACAGTAATATACAAAAATTTTTTTTTCTTGATTTTTAACGTTTGAATATTTTAAAAGACTTTGCCCACATTCAAACTAACGTTTTACTCATTCGTTTCTGATGAAAGTAATCGTTTAAGTACTCGCATAACGAACCTAAATTTAAACGATATTAAAATGCTAAAGAAATACTTAAAATTCTTAGATTTATAGATTTAAAATTTAAAAAGTAAAGCAGAAATACAAGAAAAAAAAAATTATGCGAAAGAAGAGATAAAGAGATAATTGTAAAACCATAAAACCTTTTGTGATTCTTTTATGCATCACTCATGTACTCATTATATTTTGCTTCCAATTCAAGCATTTCCGCTTCGTGTTTTTCTTTTATTATGTTGACATCCGAACTGATGTTATACAATTCCGTTGTATGATTGGTTTCGAGTATTTCGAGAGATTCCTTGAGTGTAAGTGTCTTGGATGTCTTTCACCTTTTCGTTGTAAACGGTTTCCGTATGACGCAATTGATATGCATGCTCCATTTCCAATTCGTACGTTCTTTGAGTGAGATCTCTAATGGAACTAAGTTTCTCTTCTAAATCAGTCTTAGTTATGAGAATTTCATTGAAATATGTAAAATTTTTGTCGAGTACTATGGTTTTATCTTCTGCATTGGTCACGTCCCATATGCAAATAGCTCCGTATTCAGAACAACTTATGAATGTGGTATCTTCAAGACTTAATTCCATCTATAAATTAAATTTTATTTAAATTATATTTTAATACAAATTATTACAATTATTCTTTTCAACATGCTGACTTGTGTCTACAATTTCATTGTTATTACTCTTTCGTTTACAAAAAAAATAATATGCGCATTAGATATCATAAAAATATTTAAGAGTATTTTCTTTCAGTCTCATACAAAAAAAATTTTATCTAGTCATTCATTCTTCTACCATAATTAAAAATTCTAGTTGTTTGCGCAATAAAAACATTATGTTTAATTAAAAGGCGTCAGAATTTTATTTTTTCTTAATACTCGAGTCTAACATAAAAAACGAGATACGTGATTATTTAGTAACTTGCCCTATTATTTAAGGTAGATTGTCAAAATACTCACTTTGATTTTTTGAATAATGCTTTGAGATCCAACTTTTACCGTTTTACTGAACGTTTACTATTTTCATAGAGTGTTAAAGACCATACTGGACAAAAAAACCATCTGAATTTCGTCCATTGCTTAAAAACAAAAAAATAATAACAATTTCAATTTAAATTGACTTTCGTACTTTTAAAAATAATACAAAAAAAAATTGAATGTGTAAAAGTTATTTTTCCGCCTTATTACTGTGTAATAAAAATACCTCATGTTTTCTTTGCCAGGATTTCATGGTCAATTTGTTGTATTTTTCGAATTCGTGATACCAATCGGAATATATTTTTTGATAATCATTTAAAGATTTTTTCTGTGATGTTATAGGAGCATAATAGAGCGCCATTTAACCAAAAATCGTAACGTCCAGCATCCAATTCCGAGACTCCTATTATAACTAAACCGTGTTCGTTTGTTTCTATGTATTTATCTCTCCTTTAAAAATATTAATATTAATTTACTTTGGCCATTATTATTATTATTATTATTATTAAATTTTTTCGTAAAGACATTCGAGTTTTAAAATACCTAAATACAATTTGATATTTTCCTTTTTCTTTACTGTAATGGTACCAAGCGGATGCATATGAATGCGAAGCTTCCGAGCCTTTATGAAAGCATTCCAAATAAATGCTCTGACCCCAAGTGGCCACCACTTTTTTTTTTCAATGTAGAAGAATCACAAATTCCTACTTAAGTATGACTAATGCTCTTTTCTCTACTTTCCCTATTATAATAAAAAAAATAAACAAATAAATAAAAAATAATAATAATAATAAAAACAAAAAAAACAAAAAATTGAACGGGTGGCTTTGGGATCACAAGTCCGTGCAATTAGGGCTTGATGTGTAATTCGGGACTGTTAATTACCCGAGGGATAATCAGATGATAAGATTAAAGTAACACTTTTGTAGAATACCTTAATAAAATAATAATACATGGCAATATGTGGGTTTAAATTGGATTCGAAACTGATCAAAATGGGATTGAAATAAATTAATTTTAGATGATGAAATCGGGTAATAATGAAAAAACAGTGAAAAATATAATGAAATCACAATAATTGGCGATGTATGGACGTGAAATTGAGATTTGGGTAATTTAGGTAAATAATTTGGATAATGTTGAGGTATAACAATTTAAAAACACCAAAAAAAAAAAATTCGTCTTACCTTAATTAGTGTATTAAATCCGTAGAAAAACACCACTAATCGCACACTTTTAATATACCAGTAGGTATCTTTTCGCACAAGAGAGAATAAAAAAACCTGTAAAAAAAAAAAAGAAATAAAAAAATTAATAAAATTTTTTTTTTTTTAATTTCTCGACTCTTGCCCCCGGTTTTCGACTCCTCGTCGTCACATTTTCTTCCCCTCCGCGAGAGTGAGTAAAATTCCGGGGGTGGGAGAGAGGAAAAAAAAATTTTTTTTTTGTTTCTGTTATAGATGAGAAATGTCATTTACGCACGAGAGACCCCTCACGTCGGCCAAGGCGGAAACGGGTGAGTGAGGAACTCGGAAGCGTGGAGAAACTGAACTTGAACTTGACCCTGGAACTTGAGTATATGAATAGCCGAATCGGGTCGAACTACCCTATAAAAAAAAAAAAAAAAAAAAACGTTAGGTCGTGCTCCCAAAATTCGAATCTCTGCGATCGAAAAATGGGGAAACGCTCGTGGAAGTAGTAAGTAAGACAGGCATTTTAGTGCAGTATCTCACTTTAGGAAATTTGACCTAATTTAATCTATCGTAGTCTAAAAATAAAAATAAAATTAATTTTTTTTTTTTCCTGTAGTTAGTTAATATTTGAGGTGTTGGCGAATCGTTAAAATTCACAAATCAAAAATTAAACTTTTAGAAATATTATTAAAAAAAAAAAAAAAAATTACTACTGTGTCATTTATGTAAATTTTAAACATGGGATAGGTGAAAATAATATTTTTTTTTTATAAAACTTTAAACCTGGTTATTATTATTCATTTATTTTTTATTATTTAAAAGACAAAAAAAAATCATACAAATTCTTGATATATTAAGTATTTATATCCAGAATTTTAGGCTTTGTAATTAAATTAACAATTACATTTAATAGGTACAAAATAAATTTTTTTTTTTTTTTTAAAGTAACTTTCAGGTATTTCCTAATATATGTGTTATTTATTTATATTTATTCCTTTCTTTTTTGATCGGATTTTTTCAAATCAACAGAATGACAGGAAGATAATAAAAAAAAAAAAAAAGGGAAAAAACTTAATGATTGATATATATTATTTTTGAAATACTTAATAAATTTTAAATTGTAAAAATTTATTTTCTTTAGGGAACTTTTCAATTCAGAATTCCGTTTCCATTTATAAAAGGACTACAAAACAAAAAAAAAAAATTTATGGAATACTTTTTTAAATTTTTAATCGAAATATAAATTTTAATTTTAAATACTGAATGAATAATTCTGCGTTTCAAACTACCTGTTTGAAAAAAAAAAAAAAAAATCTAATAAAAAACGTAAATGTGAAAAGAAGAAGACGAAGAAAAAAAAAAAAAAAAGAGTTAGAATTTAGTTCGAAATAAGAAAATGACAGAGAAAAATACAGAGAAAGAATACAAAGATCGGATAGCAATTTTTAAATTATCTTTTTAATTGCTGTAATTAATCTAAAAGAAAAAAAAAAAAAACAAAAAAATTCAACTACTTTACCTTTTTGCAAAAAAAAAAAAAAACAAAATTTACAAACGTTACAGGGTTTTTATAATGGCGTTTAACTCACTAATTGTATAACACAATTTTATTTTATTATGCTTCCTGATCATGATTGGTTTTTTTTTTTTTTTCTCTTAATGTTACACTTTTAAAAATATATTTATCAATATTTTATGAGTGAAACTTTAATGTGTATTTTTAAAAAAATGTTCTTTTTTTTTTTTTTTTTTTTTAAGAAAATTCTGACGATTCTAAATATTTTTTTTAAATATATATTTTGTACTTGTTTTACAGCATTCCAAAACCTTTGCTGTAATTAATTGCTTTCTCTAGACGATCCTGCAGTTTTTCTCTTGACGAATATTCTGGCAGTAGGAGAACATTAAAGCAGGTATGCGCTGTAGGTAGCCTAGAAATATTAAAGAAAATTTTAAAATTTATTTAAAGCAATTAAATTATAATTACGATTCACATTTGGTACAATTAATGATTTTCCAATTCTATGTTTGACTTATATAAAGTACATATATATCATCAATAAATGCAAAAAAGTATTGAATGATGATGTATTTTTTAATCATACCTTACATTTGAGGAAAACAAAATCCAACAACAAAAAAGAGTAAAAAATCAAAAAATTAATTTACCATCCACAAAAAAAGAAAAAAAAGTTGATTTTTTTTTACTGTACGAGAAAATACGTTAAAGATTTTAAAATTTATAAATAAAATGAAAAATTTACCGATCAGAATCCGGCCCATTTTTAGCGATGACCAATTTGAGTCTGCTCAACCCTCCCACGGGCACTCGATCACTTCCGGTTGCGAATTGCAACAATTTTCTTTTATCGTCCAGGGACATTGCGTGAACTAATTTCCAAAAATTTTTTATTATAGGAGTTTCAGCTGTATAACCGCCATCGTATTCCGTGGCCTCTTCCAGTTCGTTAAAATCGAAATTCTGTACGTGTAAATAACAAATAAAAAAATTTTTTTTAAATATTTTTTTACAACAACACAATATCCGTGAGTAATAAAGACGATTGTTGATACCTTACTACCGCAGACTAGTTGTTCAACTTCTTCAGGCCTAAATAAAAATATTAACGGCGATTCATCTGTTACCATTTGAAAACCCTTTCGGAAAGCTCTAAATTGCTTTTCTACACATTTATTTAATAAAAAATTTGAATATAAATCTACGAATTCCTAAAAGGTGAAAAGACATTTTAATTAATAAAATAATACAATTAAATATCAGCATTAAGAGTTAACAAAAAAAAAAAACTTTCGAACGCAATATTACAAATAAGGTGGAAATATATGAAACTAGACTATTTAAAAAAAAAAAAATAAAATGAGTTTTAAAATATTATTTTCAAATTCTCTTAGAACACAAAAAGACATAATTACATCTATTGATGAATATTTAATTTTAAAAAAAATATCCGAAAATATTTGAAAAATTTTATTAGCCCTTACAAATTTTTTTATAATATGTATTTCGCAAAGAAAAAAAAAAAAAACCCAAATATAAAGCACGTATTTTTTTTTAAATTTAAATAAATAAATAATAATTACAATTTGCAGTTTATTACTCACTTTTTTATTATCTTGATTAACGTAGATTTGATCGCCTCCTTCTTTTAGTTCGTGAAATAATGTGTTACCGAAAACATCTGTATAACATACTCTGAAAGTTTGAATTAAAACATCCTCTATATCGTCTTCTTCGTAATCTAAAAGTTCTTTAAGACCAGCAAATAAAGTCTAAAATCAATCATTTTCACAAGTAAATATAAATTAAACAACAGTTAATAATTTTTCATAATTTAAAAAATTTTAATTATTAATAAAAACAAACTTACAGGGTTCCAATCTTGAACGTCATAAAACGTTCCCCTTTTTCCCATTAATTTTTTGTACACCACCATGGGAAAGCGAACATCAAGTATAATATTATTATAAATAGCTAAACCTAAAACTATACCGATCAAAGTAAACTGGGCATCACTTTCAAAAGACGTAGGATTAAACCAAACAGTTTCCGTTTCTTGTTGGTAAACAAACATACCTGAAACCATTGAGATAATAATAATAATAATCAAAAAAAATGTCCGAAAAATAAATATTATATGCGTCTGAACTTTATTTTTTTTTTTTTTTTAATTAATCAAATAAATAATTATAATAATATATTAAAAAATCAAATCATAAATCATGAACTATATATACATATATTTTTTTTTATAAATTCGGCATAAATAATAAATACTATGATAACGCTCTGAAAAAAATTTTTTTTTGCCTATCGGTCGCAATATTTTTTTATTAGGACACTTTGACTGAAAAATTTTACACAACAAAACAACAGGGTCAGAAATGATTATATATATTTTAATTTACCATAATCTGGATTAAAAATTTCTTCCACGATCAATTGGAAAAATTCTTTGGAAACCCCGCCTTCATCGATTCCTTGTTCGCCTTCGAATTCAACTACCAATTGTTTTTTTAAATCTTTTGGATTTTCCATGGCTACCATCTCCAACTGTAAAAATAATTCAATTATTTTTATTACACTCAACCCTTATTATTATAATTAACAAAAAAAAAAAAATATTTGCTTGTCAAACCTCAACTAAAGCATCATCTATAATATGGTCCCTCCGCACTTTTAATTTCAAATAAGGATTAGCTGGCTGACCAACAGCGGTCTGAAAAAAACTCATTCTCCTTTCACTGTACATTCGTATTCTATTATCATAGCATAATCCTAATGTTTTTGTTGCGGGTGTCAATATAAATGAATAAAACATAAAACTAAATTTTTTATTCTAAAAAAAAAAAATTTACCTTTGTAATTTTCGATTATTATGTGTTGTGGCGAAACAATTAAAAATTTAATAAATACACCTTACTTTTACAAAATCTAACGTGTTGCCGAAATCCGATTTATAATAGGCAAAATCCTTATCCATTTCCACAGCATCAGATAAGGGCTCGTTGTAAAACTCATGAAAAGGTATTAATGGCTTTCGACTGTCTAAAACATTAATTTGAAGCTGAGATTCTAAAGGATCTACCGGAGGAGGTGGTTTTGGTACTTTGGTTTCTGCTCCTAACAATGAATCATCAGTTGAACTAAACGAGGAGTCTTCAAAAGATAGATCGGGAGCATCGAGCTCTCCCGCTAAGATACTGGCATAATACAATATCTACATAAAAAAAAATGAAAAATAAAAATTACATTTTAAAACGTAAAACTAATTTTTTTCAATAAATCTTTACCTTCATTAATTTTGTAGGCGATGTAATAGCCTCTTCGTCTTGAATGCAATAATCTCTTGTAAAAGTCCCGGTAATAACTTTAAGAGTTATTAACTGCTGAAGAGATTCTAATAAACTCTTTAATCGACTTTTACAAAATTTTGCCCACACTCTTGCAAGTTTAGCTTGACAAGGAACAGATAAGTGAGCTGCTAATTTACAAATCTGAAAAAAATTTATTATAAATCAAAATTTTTCAATCCATTATTAATGTAAACTTTTTTTTTTTTTTTTTTACGTACGTGGGGCAGAGCAACATCAATGAATTCAGAACTTCCGACAATCGGTATCTCAGTTATTATAACAAATATATTCAAAAGATCTTCGTCTTCCGTTTTCACTCTATTTGAAGAACCCCATAGTTTTAACCGAATTTCAAGGGTTCCTGTCAAAGTGACAATTGCATTTACTAAAGCCCCTGAGAAAATATAAAAAAAATAATTATTAATAAAAATTGTATCAATAAATAAAATTATGAATACGTATTACAGTAAAGTATAATTCAAACAAACAACCAACATGTGTAACACTCCTACGCATTTCGCATAATTTTATTTAAAACCTTTGAAGTAATTTTTTCATTTAAATAAACATCTATTGGCTAAACTAAACTAAATATATAAATAATAACTAATTTAATAAAAAGTTCAACAAGAACTCATTATTTTGTTGTTTCCCCAACATAAAATCACAAGGATAACATCGAGAAAAATTTAAAAGCAGACTACCTTTTTAAAAAATTTATTTTACCTCAATTCTCATTAAACCTCAGGTTTTTATATTTAATGTGAATTACTTTAAAGTTACAAAAAAAAAAAAAAGTTTTATTTGAGAGAAAAAAACGCTCAAGTAATTAAAATTAAAAATTATTCACTTAGTTCGGAATATAAAAAAAAAATTGATTTGTCATTGACTAATCGACAGATTTTTTTTCTCGATAAAGTTCTTAGTTGATAATTTATGGTGGTACAAACGATTTTTAATTAAAATAAAAAAAAAAGTTTCAATTGTTACAACAAAATAAATAAAAAATCATTCAAAAAGCGGTAGCAAGTTAAAAAAAAAACTCAATCTGACAAGTCCCTAAATGTTCTTTTAAAAAAAAAATTAAATTATAAAATTGATGTAAATATGCCTCTTTCATATTTAATAATATTCATAAGCAAAATAAAAAAACATAAAAATAATAACTGCATAACATCAGTAAGTAAATGTAATAAAATTTGCTCTGAATGGTGATAAAAAATTAACATTAATTATAAAAGCGTTTTTTTTTTTTTTTTTTTTTTTCAAAATCTCTTCGAATTCTTTTTGTGGGGAACATACATAATATAAAATGGTTAATTATTGTTACATTGAATAACATAAATTGTGCACATTACTCAAATTGAATTATATTCAAACAGTTAACTCAAATTATGAATTTTAAGGTCTTTTAACCATTTATTATTTGATTATTAAAATAAAATGTGCATAATAGTTTTAAAAAAAAAATATGTATATATATATATATATATATATATATGTATTACTGCTGACTTTTTTTTTGAGGAAGATTAATAAATGGATAACCATTGGTTTAAACTGCATTACTGTCAGAGAACTATACAAAATTATAAATACAAATACATATATATAAAACTGAAACCTTAAATGTTTTCTTCAGAAACAACTGTAATGAAACATATATCAAATCACATGGTTACTTTATGTTAATAGTAAGTACTTACCCTCAAATATTTTTAAAGGCAATTGAAATAGATGTGCGTAAGCCCTTCTTAAAGAAAAAACATCCACAGAAGTGTCCACAGTATCCGATCTTTTTATTAATGATCTCTTATTAGAATTTTCCCCAAGCTAAAAAGAGCAAAAGAAGTAAAAGAAATCAATTCTCTTCTCTTATTTTTTTTTCATTACTTATTAATGAGCTGGAAAAAATTAAATAAAATTAAAATTTTATCTTTCACCTTTTCATTTTTTATTTCAAGCTCTCGACAATCTTCGTCTTTATCCAAATCCCCCTCTAATGTTCGAACATCTTCTTTTTTCAGTCTTTTTAAATCTTTGACTCCTGCTTTTTCGAGCATGACTTCAATTGGTGATTCAGGCTCGGTGCGTAAGAAACTCTGAGCCAAACTTTCAGGATTAGAATATACCTCTCCGAGAGCTCGAATCAATTGACAATAAGAATTTTCGTTTTGGCAGGTTTTAATAATATTTAACAACTTTTCTTCCGTTAAAAATGGCAAAGGTTTTTCTATAAATTATTACATTTATTAATTTATACAGAATATATATATATATATATTGTAAACACACGGGGCCGAAATAGTGAAATAAATTACTGACTCACCTTTTAAACTTTCATTATCTGAGAGATCATTAGTGGTTTTTGCCACCATATTTGAATTAGATGGTACTGGTTCATTGCAAAGTTCAACCACTTTTGAATAAGAATCAAGGTTATTACAACTAGCAGTTCCTGCAGGTTTCCCCTGAGTTCTGGGCACTTTCGAAGGATGGGCCTCACATAATTTTGCTTCTTGAGAAAATAACTGAAATGCTTGAGCTGCCGCCTGATTTGGAGTCAAATTTTTTACCTTAAAAAAAAAAAAATTTCAACAATTTTAAATTTCAAACAACAGAATTAAAAATCCTTTAATATACATGTTTTTTTTATCATAATATAATGTTGTTATATATATATATTGCCATGGTCCGATTCGATTATCCATTCACAACGTTAATCTTTCTCCGCGTTTGAAATAAATATTCTAAATTGAAATCGAATACACTTTTAACGAAAGATGAATTATATTGATAGTAAGCAACAGAAAAAAACATTTTACATCATGTTACGTGAACTGAACAAATTAGTTACTAAAATTTTATGAACATTACTAGATGTCAACCCAATCACAAATTTAGACCTAGACACAAAAGATGTTAAAGTTGAACAGGAGAAACCGATGAACGAAGAACTGACCACCAAGAACGCTAGTTGAGACGTCCAGCCTCCTTTTATAAGTCCGGTCTATCGTTAGTCATTGTTCATTCACTAGCAATCAAGATTAGATAAGAAAAGCAAAGCTTCCAGAAATGCTGACTTTGCCTCTACGATGTGAATGCTGCTGTCATTGTTCCTCTTTCATTTATCAAAAAAATAAACCACATTTGATATGGTATCATAACAATATATACACACAATTCAAGTATTAATTATTATACAATTAAAGTATTTCAAAAAAAATACTTTATATAAAGGTAATCTTCTAAAAAGACATACATTGATTATATTAAAAAACTGATTTTTTTTTAGTTTAGTTAGCCTATAATTACAAAAAAAAAAAACACTACAATTAAAATTTATAAAAAAATATGTAATAATATTTAAGGTGTTGATGATCTCAATTTTTTTTATGAAAGTGTACAATGCAAACCATTGTTATCATCAATTACAAATTTTTTATTTTCCTGTATTGGTAGTAAAAATAAATTTTTTTTTAAACAAAGTAAGTAAAAACCACTGTAAGCATTAAAATTGTATTATTCACTTAACTCTCAAAGAACTTAAATTCATTTATGAACTTGTAAATTGTTCCAATTATTGGTAAAAAAAAAAAAAAAAAAAAAAAAAATTAAAAGAGAGGTGTTGCAAATGAAATCAAATTTATCAAAATTCAAATCAAATCAAGTTAAAAAAAACTTATTGAATATTTATAAAAGCAAAAAAAAAGCTTAAATTTAAATACTGAAACTGTTTAATTAAAAAAATTAACCTAACACATCTTAAACGTACTAATTTTACATATCACCCAATTAGGAAATTTCTTTGATTCCGATTTAAATGAATAATTGAAGAATATAAACGAGAATAAAATAAATAAAACCTAGTATGATTTCACAACAACAATAAACACACATTAAACATGTAGAATTTTACAAAATATTTAATAATAATAATAATAATAAACAAATATAAAAACAGTAATTAAGAATTAAGAAAAAAATTTTATACTTTGAAAGAATAAAAATTTAAAATTAACTTACTTTTCCACTTGAAGCGCAGTGTTCATTTGAACAATTAGGATCTCCACATCCATCAACCAATTGATAAAAGTATCTTTCAATCAGTTTTTTTGCAGCTGCCCTTTTCATAGTATCTGGACTTAATGTGTACCACTGGCCTAAAGATCTATCACTAACAGAAGTATCTGAGTTTCTACTTTCAACTGAGGATTGACTGGAACGTGAAATTTTTATAAATTTATTAATTTCATCATGCATTTGATCAAAAACATTTGTTTCATTGTAAAAAAAAAAAAAAAAAAAAAAAAAACACAAACGTAAAAACTAATATTCATATATGAAAACGAAATAATTGCACAAAGTTCAAATAATTTTTTTTTTTTTTTTTTTTTTTTCCATTTAAAAAATTAAAATAGATTTTGAAAATTTGCACTAATCACTCAAATGACTAGAATTATAAAAAAATTAATATTACTGTATTACCTTGGAACTTCGCCTCCTGAATTATGATTTTCTTTGCTCGAGTTCATAGAATAAAATTGTTAATACATTGTAAAACTAATAAGAAAAATAAAATGTACATAATAATGAACTAGCTGTCACCATTAGCTTTTTGATAATATTTTTAAAACGAAAATTTTGAATGATTTGTTGTAAGCAATTTTTCAAAACAAACGGTGTTCAAGGACATTGTAAAACAGTATTGCCAATATAATTATGGCGTCGAATTCAAATTTTTTTTTTTTTTTTTTTTTTTTTTTTTATTATGAAAGTTATGGATGCTGTTTTCTATTTATTTGCCGGTAGTCCTAATTATTTAGTATAATTAAAGAAATTTAAAAAGGGAAAAATGAAGTAATAAAACCTGTTTGTTTTTTTTTTTATTATTAGTTTTTTTCTTTTATATGTGAAAATTGTAACTACGTCATAACAAATAGGTAATATTCAATGAAAGCGAAACAGCTATTATGAAAATAGATAAATAGATGTGTAAAAAAAAAAATAAATAAATAAATAATTACATTACTCTCTTATTTTGTATACCAAACCCCTATTTGTTGCATTTTTTAAGTTTCAAAATTCATTTTTCTTATTGTCAATATAAAAATTAATACTCACGGTGTCTGTCATTTTTCTCCTTTTTTCTGTATTAACATTACGAGTGCATATTTATTTAACATTTAAATAACAAATTTTACAGGAGTCCGTTAATTTTACAATATGTTGTTGGGATGATCCGAACACATAAACAAATGAACTACATTTGCAAGTTTAAAAAGAAAAATGAACAATTACGTATCCGCCGCTATAGAAAACAGCTTTGAAAAATTTGAGGCTTATCCAAGGGTTGTTGAAAGATATTATAAGCCTTTTTACTTTTTAAGTAATAAAGGCTTACCATCTGAACACCACTGCGTCCTAATGCATTCAAACAAAATTTGCCTGATAACTTTAGCACCGACACACCCATTAATTAAAAGCCAAAAAAAAATCACAAAACTAGATTTTCAAGTTACAAATGAGGTAGATCGCTTAGAAAATAAAGTCAGTGGGAAAAGCAAAAAAGGAGGACAGCACCTAATGCCAGACTCATTATTATGTCATGTCGAGTGTAGCGATGGTTCTAAATATTCAATTTGGAGTTGCATCAAAGGCAAACTGTTGGAAATAAATAACTTACTTTTGTCAAAGCCAGATCTCATGGTTCAAAAACCACTTTCAGTAGGTTTTTTGGCTATTATATTACCATCTGTAAAAGATATAGAAATATACAAGAAGAAGTTAATCACTTGTGAAAAGTACATTACAGATATAAAAGCAATGAGTGAAAACACAGAATCACTGTGAAAAATTAACTAAATATTACTATAATTCTGTACAATTAACATTTAGTGAATTTTCCTAGAATTTGTTAATACATTTTAGAACTTTAAAGTGAAATTACATATAAAAAAAAAATATGAATGTGCTTTAAAGGCTGTATTATGTTATTAATAAATAAATGGTTTTCATACATAAAAATGAATTATTTGGAAATGCTGTGAAATTCATTTCATCTATTAAATAAAGAAAAAAGTAACTGAAATTTGAGAGCAAAAAAAAAGGAATATTATGGACAAAACAATGTGGAATTTTAAATATTTTAAATTCTAATAAATATCTAAAATTTTAAAATTTTATATTATATTTTTTTCTTCAAAACACAATATAAGTTACCTACCAACTCATTAAGTATAGTTTTAAAAGTAATTTGAATTTGAATTTTTTCTTTTTTTTTTTTTTTTAATTTATTTCAATGAAAAACTACAAATTGATCTTATTGATAGTAGTTAACTGATATCATTTTTTTGAATATTTAAAAAAAGGAACGATTTATACTCCACTCGGGAAGACATTGAATGGCATTAACAAACAATGGGTGAATAATAAAATAAATTGGGTAAAATTTTTTTGTATATAATGCAATTTTCCCTTTTTTTTTTTTTTAAATATTTTGCATTAACACTGATGACACTTGATAAGAAAAAAATATAACTGAACATTACCATTTTAAACATTTTGCTTCAAAAAAAAAAAATGACTAGCATGATTTCTAATTTGTATTTTATATGCTATTTTTTATTTCTCATGTTTTTTTCTTTTTTTTTTTTTTAAAAAACGTTCCTAACACAATGCCAGCAAAAATAATTCCTCCTAAATACCTATTAGAAATAAATTTTTTCCAACAGTCAATCGGTTGATCAATATCTAAAGTTTTTACCTAAAAAATTAAAAATTCACAATAAAAGGCATCAGTAGGAGGGAGGGGGGGGGGGGAAGAAAAAAAAGTAATTGACAAAATTACTAACCTGAAGTCCCAAATGAGTTGCAGCTGCAGCCACTGAGAAATAATAACAAAAAGTTTGACTGCTATTGTATCCAGCAAGTAATAATGAGGAAATCATTATCGTTGCAAAAGCACTTAAGTAATACTTAGCATCAGAACCAAACTTGATTGCAGTAGATTTAATACCCAAACTTAAATCATCAACCACATCCTATGAAAATCGTCATAACATTGTGAATGGATTTTAAAAAAATTACTTTAAATTTATTTAATAAGGGTTTAAAAACACTCTTTGAAACAGTTTGATTCAAATCATTACCTGGTATGCATAAATTGTGTCATAAAACAGAGTCCATGATATTCCACTTAAGTAGAGTGGCAAACAAATACTCCAGTCACAGCTTCCGTGAACAGCAGACCATCCCAGTAGAGCACCCCAATTGAATGTACAGCCTAGTATGAGTTGAGGCCAATAAGTTATTCTTTTCATTAAAGGATAGGTAATGACCAAAAGTAGAGAAGAAGCACCGAGAAAAACAGAATACCAATTTAACTGCAGTAAAATCAAAAGCGAAATCGATAATTGTCCACCTAAAAAAACCAATGCCTAGAAAAAAAAAAACAATAAATAAATAATAATAATAATTTTTTTTTATTTTATTATTTATAACAAGGAAAACAAATCAATAATCACAGAGCAACTGTCAGAAATAATTAAATAGAGACTTTCATTTAAAAAAATACTTAACTACTTAGCATTACACAACTAATAACAATTAATATTAATTTATGATTCATAATTTTTAGTTGAGGCTTATGGGGGAAAATTTGTTAATGTAGAAATTTTATAACCTTTTCCCCAGATAAAATTAATTTGCAGACATACCTTGAACTTGGTAACTTGCCCTGTCACCAAAGGCCTGTTGCTTGTTCTGGAAACTTTAGAATCTATATCTTTATCCCATAAGTCATTAATGGTACAACCAGCTCCTCTCATGATTAAAGCACCAGCCCCGAATAAAGCTAACATTGATAGATTGGGTAGTTCTCCATTTTCTGCTGCCATACCAATACTCCAACTACAAGGCCAGAATAAAAGCCATGATCCTTAAACAGAATTAATACAATTCATTATTTCAAACATGTTTAAAAAAAACATACAATTAAAAAAAATCCCCCTTATTAAAAATATAAGACAATAAAATTGAACAATCAAGTTATGAGACTGAAAGACTCACTAAATTTTCAACCAAAAAAAAAAAAAGAAAAAAACAAACAGATTATAAGAACATACTTGATGAAAAAATAATTTCTTTCAATTATTCATACCTAAATTAAAATTTCTGATTACGTTTCTTACCGGCTGGTTGATGCAATCTCATTAATTTTAAATATGGCTTTATTTTTTCTGATGAGTTTTTTACCAGGAACTCAGGTAAAGAATCACTTTTTGTAAGCTTCTTGAAAAAAGAATCTTTTGTCGCGTGGTAATACCTAACATCATCGACCAGAGGTATTAACTTGTAAAATGCACATCCGTTCAGGTGACTTCTGAGCCTGTGTATTTTACAAAAATAATTTTCTGGTTTACAATATACATACTTGTGGTAAACTTTATGGTCAATTTTCGTTAAACTGACTAAAAACTTTTGGTTTAATTTCATCATAATCGAAAATTAAATATGTTTAATTGTGGATGCCAAATAAAAGCATTAAATACCAATTGAAATAAATAAAAAGAAAAGCATTGTGTCATGAAATATCAGTCTAAAAAGAAAAATTTCAACTACTGGGAAAAATATTTAGCGCAACTTTTTTTTTTTTTTTGCATCAACTAAAGTGACTAATGAGGCCCAGTAAAAATGTAATCGCTACTACCACGGCGGGACTGTGTGCATGTTATTCAAGAATTGTGTTTAAGACAAAGATGGCCGATGAAATTATATTTTTACTATAAAAGATAAATGAAAATCTTTTAAGACTTGTAATATACATATTAAAATATACATACATATACAAGTCTGATATTAGGCTTTGCCTTTAGATTTAAATAAATAAAAATAATAATAATAATAATAATAATAATAATTTTCTTACAAATTTCTTTGTAATGTTTAGCCTAGTAAAAGTTTTTAATAAAATAAACTTAAATTGTTTAGATTTACACCTGTGTACAGCTCAATCCGGTCTTATATTTGTTCGTGGTTTAAAGGAAAAACGTGTTTTTGTCGAAAAACCTAAACCTGGAAATGGACAGCAATTTAGAATAAAGGTACATTTTCCAAGTGAGTACACAATCGAACCATTGGATGTTACCCATTTAGGAGGACGAGATCCGGTGACTGGTCGTAAGGTTTGCGAAGGAATAGGAGGTGGGATAAAACATAAATATCATTGGATAAAGTGGATGCGTGACGGACCTTCAGACGATGTTCCCCCTCAGGAAGAAAAAGTCATTAAAATATTTCGCTCTCCTTACAGAACTGCTTTCGTAGCTTTAGTTGCTGTTAAAGATGAAATGAAATATATATTGGCTACTGAAAATATGAAAGAAGGCGATATTATAAAAACTTCAAAGTTTTTACCAAAAAATCCTGTAAAAGCCACAGAAGGAGATGCTTACCCTCTGGGGGCTTTGCCCATCGGCACAGTAATTCACAACGTCCAATTAAATCTTGATAGTGAATATACTGTCATTCATTCTGCCGGATCCAGCGCACTCATTAAAAGACATTTAGGATCAGAAATTGTTGTTCAACTTTCAAGCAAATTGGAAATGGCAATTAACCCCTTGTGCATGGCCACAGTAGGTTAGTAACGTCATTTTTATTCAATTTTTAAAATTAAAAAAAAAAAAAACATTTCAAGTTCTTTTATTCTTCTTTCACAGGAAGATTATCAAATGCTATACACGGTTCCACTCCGATAGGAAGTCCAAATAAATTAAGGGAACTCGGATATCGTCCCAGATCTGGTTTGTGGCATAGGAAAACTGGAATTCATGGTAGAAAAATAAAACCGTTGCCTCCCGTTCAACATTACAAAAGTCCTCCACCTCCAGTGGAATATATTCGTTGTACTCACAATAGATATAAAATATAACATTGTTGCATATAAATTTAAAGTAAAAAGTGTGATTTGAAACTAAAAAAACCTTGATCGAAACATCAACATTTACTTCAAGTAAGAAGTTTTTCTCATGTCAATGGCTTAGAATTACATAAATATACACACACATTTGTAAAAATTAACGAATATTACTCACATAAATATATTTTTTTAAAAATATATGTTTGACAATTCCGTTTTTTAGGCCTTTAATAAAACATTCAAAGTTATATCAGAGTGTCAAAATGTTATTCCTTTTAGATTTATTTATTTTTGTTATTCTACAAACGTTTAATGTGGAAATTTTATTTCATTAAATTTTTATTAATAAAAACATGATTTAAGCATTAAAATAATTAAATTTTTTATAAATAATTTTGTGCATTCAATGATATTTAAGAAAATTTTAATATCACCTTACAACTCTCATAGATTTATTATAATTAAAAAGTAAATTCAAACTTTTTCCTACATTTTCGTTTGACATACTTTATAAATATTAATTCATACATTATATATATATATATAATACTCTACCTAACACATGACTAGAAAAAAAAAAAAAAAATTTCGTGATTTAAACGAGACTAAAAATTTATATACGAATGTTTACAAAAAAATGCAAAAAAAATACAAAATAAATAAATAAATATATATATGTGAAAATTTTTTTTTTTTTACTAATAAACTAATATCCGAGGTTTAAACTGCAACCAGAGGTCTTATATCCTTATTTACAATATAAAACTTGTGCTTTTTCCCAAACAGACCCCATATGACGGCTACATTTTCAATCATTATATTGAAGGGAATAGTGCAGAGCGCTCCAGCAATGCAAAGGAAAAATTTCAAAAAACCGCAACGCATAAGTGAAAATGATTTGATTACACCGAAAATATACATATAAATGTTAACTGCTCCTATAAATGCGCAAAGAAAATCCATTGCTGAGGGACAGGGAATGGGGCAAAGTGCTGCCAATACGACATTTGACGTTGATAAAGGCATTGTGACCCAAGAATAGCAACTTACTGCCAAAAGTATTTTATTTTTGATAGGAATGGCTTTAGAATGAACAACTAAGAGTATTCCTTGAAGCCAACGCTTTCTCTGCTGAACAAAATCCAAAAGTGAAAAAGGAGATTTTTCCCACATTTCACCTTCTATGAAGTTAAAGCTGTAGCCTTGATGATAAGCACGCATTGCAAAGAAGCAATCTTCCGCTACAGACCCATCTAATCCATTGTCGAACGAAACTGCTCGTTCGGCCCCAACCTAAAAAAAAAAAAGAATTTAAAGCAAATTTGTTTTGCATTTTCGTATTGAACAAATGATACAATAAATCATTATTACATATTTGAATATGATGATTTAAAAATCAAAAAGAAAAATTTGTAATAAATGAGTAATATATGTATGCAAATCATTAATAAAAAAAAACAAGATATAAATTAATTTTTTCCAATAAAAAAATTTAAAAATTTTAAGAGTAGAGCAAAGTTAATTTTTTTTCTCCTGAATCAAAACAAAATAAACTTACTTGTGTAACTACATAGCTTCCTTTCCAACTGAATAGTGGCTTGTGAAACATAAAAAACTGCAAACGAAGTTTTCCCATATCATCAGCCACTCTGAAACTGTCAGCAAGAGTGGTTACCCAGTTAACAACATTTTCATTTGCATAGGTAATGAGACCCTGACCAAACTGATGTTTACCATCGAGAACAAAATTTAAGATACCACGAACTGAATTTTCAGTAAGAAGAGTTTCTTCATCCAAGTGTACAATCCAATCAGAATCAGACAAATAATTTATCTCATCCTCAAGGCAATACTGCAGTGCTCTAGCTTTAAATAGGGCGCCACTTTTGGTCCTGTAATTGCTAGGAACAACTAATTCTCTAACTCTTCTGTTGATGCCTTCAACATTTATCCTTTTATCTGTTACTATGTCAAATATAAAATTTTCTAATCCTGCTTGCACGCATATATTAATATTTTGTATGACATTTCTTTTTACAAGTTCAGGATAGTCTCCTCGGGTAACAACACGTATACAAATAAATGGGGCCAATAAAGGAGAACCTTTTAAAATTACTTTATCTGGAAACGCATTATAAAAAGTAAGACCAAAAAAATTAAAAATCACTTGAGGCAGTGTTAAAAAGGTAAGCAATCGTAAAATATACAATATAATTGTACTAACAAAACCATAACATAGCCATGGATCAATATCATCTTGACCGTAATCGAAAAAACGAACACCACCAGAAAAAATTTCTAATAACACAATTTCAATGAAAAAAATACAACAGTGTAGTGCATGCTTTGTTCTACTGGTTAACATTTTTCCCAATTCTCAATTTATTTTATTGCTTCATTTATGAAAAAAACTTACACCAAAGTTTGATTCATATTTAACATCTGAAATGAAAATATGACTAATTAATAAAATTTACACACACACACACATATATATACATTTTATTTTAACAAAAAAAACAGAAAAAAAAAGCAACTTTTTCAAATTGCTTTAAAAAATTAAAGACAAAAAAAAATTGTTTTACTATTTTTAAAAGACTGTCTTTTGTGAAAGTGCAATAAAATTTTATCAATATTATTTGAATAGAAAATTATTAAAACTGATTTTTGTTAATATTTTTAGAAAATATTCCATTGAAAGCGTTGAAATTTACAATAAATATAAGTTTTATTATTAAAATGAATAACCTCAATAATAATGAGTGCCGCACTGCGATCGTATTTAAAATAAAAATAAAAATCTAGTTCTTTTCTAACTTGAAACGATTGAAAAAAAAATTTATTATTATTTTAATATAAAATCGGAAATAATAATAATTTAATTGAGACTAATAAAGGAGTTTATAACTGTATCACGAAGATAAAATAAAAAAATCATTCATGAATAAAAAAAACTTACAACGATACTATGTTAGGCAGCAAAAACAATATTTTTCATGTATACAAAATACAAATGACACATGAAAGTTTTATAAAAAAAAAAAAAAAAAATTTTTCACGTAAAAATAAAATAATAAAAACAATAATAAAAATAATAAATAATGAACAAAAATTAACCAAATTCAAATAAAAGCTTTACATTTTAGAAAGAAATAAAGGAGAAAAAACAAATACAACAACAACTAAAATAAAAATAAAATAAAAATAAAACCTTACTATTGTATTTTAATTAAAACTATAAAAACGCATTCGAGAATTTTTTTTTTTTACATAAAAAGATATTTAAATACTTTAGCAGTCGATTCTTAACAAATAAAATGATACTTTTATTTTTAACTTATCTACGTGCGAAACGGCAAAAAGGGTTAACGTGAATAATAATACGTTAACATGTTACCATAACCACTTTCGTTTGATCAAATTTTTAATATCAACTCGTTGAAAATTATGTTTTTTTTTTTGTAATTTCTATAAAACCTGATTAAAATTTGAAAGATACATTAAAAATAATACAACTGTTGCTTTTGAATTGATTAATACTTCGTGATAACATCGTTTTTTTTTTTTTTTTTTTTTTTTTGAATTTTTATAAACAACCATTGAACAATAAACTATTATGATCGAGTTCCTTTTATTGTTTAATTATGAATTTAATTTTTTTCGCTTAGTTTATTTTTCGTTTAACATGTCTTTGTAAAAATGAAAATTAAACATTTAAAAAAAAATTTATTATATTTATTATAAATTAAATCGAAAAAAAAAAAAAAGAAAAAAAAAACGTAACGTAACGATTTTTTTAGTTTATTGTCATGAATAACAGAATATTTTTTACTCAATTAATATATTTGTTTACGGTAATAATTTACTTTTCTAGATTTTCGTTTAAAAATCGTTGCTCGCAATTAATGTATTTTCATGCAAATTCTGGTTTTAAGGTGTAATAAATTTTCACAGTAAAGAAGATACCGAACAAAAAAAAATAAATAAATAAATAAATAAATATTCGTGTTTCCTGAGATTTTTTTGAAAAATGGATTCTAAGGGTAAACTATTGTTAGTACGTTATTTCATATATTAAAACTGTTATATTTTTAAAATAAAAATTTATGTTTGATTCATTACAGAAAATGAAGCTGCGTTAAATAATAATTTTGATGAGTCGATCATTAATTATTCACATAATTCTTTAAAAAAAATAAAATGGGATTCTGTAAAACAAAAAGAAGCTCACACTCTTATTTTAAACGATAATGAAATTCAGAAAATAGAAAATTTGGAAAGTTTTCCAAATTTGAAAAGGGTATGTAAGTGTTTCTAAATTAGATTTTGACCAATGTTTAACCTAAAAATTAAATAAAGTATTTTTCAGTTATTCATCATCAATAATCATCTTAAAAATATATGTGGCCTTTCGCAATTGATTTATCTAGAGGAATTAGATTTAAGTGGAAATAATATAGGAGCAATTGAAAATCTTAAAGATTTGAAAAACTTGAGAGAATTAAATCTTTCCAATAATAATATTAAATTAATCGAACATTTAATTGACAATACAGAACTGGAGAAAATTGATCTTTGTTCAAATAATATTACATTCATATCAGATATATCTCATCTAAAAAATTTGAAAGTAATATGAGAAATTATAAAAAAAAAAAATAAATAAATAAACATTTCATTTTCTTAATAAAGGTAAAACAAAATAAAATTCATTTATTATTTTTAATAATTTTTAGAAACTGTTTCTTCACGATAATAAAATAACCAATTTAAGACATTGTGAAAAAAATTTACCTCAAAGTATTGAAAGTATAACTTTACATAATAATTTAATTTCTGATTTGAATGAAATATCTCATTTGATGCAATTTAATTCCCTTAAAGAGTTATCCATTGCCAACAACCCTTGTGTGAATTTAAATGGTGAAAGCATGTATCCTTTTTTTTAAAAAATCTCTCAATTTAATTAATTATATTTTCATATTTTGTCATCATTTTAATTAAGAAAATTTCTTAATGTATAAATTAGTAATTTTAATTACAGGCCTTTTATTAAAAATTGGTGCAGTAATTTGTTGACATTAGACAATATGCCACTGGATGATATTGAATGGTTTGTTGGAAACAATTTTTACCTCTTTTTCGCTTTCTTTTGTAAAAACATCATTTTTTTTATTTGATCATTCAAATTAAAATGACTACTCATGGGCCATTTTAAAAAAAAATTTTTTTTTAAAATTAATTTATCTATATATTTATATACAATTTTTAAATTTTAGTCTAAAAGCAGAGTGGTTGTATTCTCAAGGAAAAGGAAGAAGTTTTCAGGTTGGTGATCACAAAGCTTTAGTTGAATATCTTGTTTCCGTCTGCCCTGTCAAAAAAGGGAATGATGAAACTGACGTTAAAAAATTAAAACTAATCTTAAGTAAGGCTCAGCATCATCAAAAGCAACTTAAGGAACAACTTTCAGAAGGTTTGAAATAAAAAATTTTATTTTTTAATATTTCAATTACCTATAAAAAATAATAATAATTTTTAGCCTCTAACATATTAAGTTATTCGTAAAATTAAAATTTACCGTTTTTTATCAGTAATCAAAAGAAACAATTGCTTTTATTATATTAAAAAAAAAAAACCTTAAAAACCATTTATTTATTTATCATAATTGATCTTGTACTGTTATGAAAGGAGTTTTAAATATAAATTTTTTTTTTTTTTTTTTTTTTTTACAGAAAACCTATCTTATCAAGGCGCGTACAAATCTTCGGGGAAAAAAAAAGTTGGTCTATCTGATAAAATGGTTCTGAGCTATCAAGATTCTTTTGTGGATGGTAATAATAAAAAACCACCCGAAATCATGAGTAGAAGTTTAGATTCGGGTATTATTAGAAACACTATTTCAGGAAAAGGAAGCCTAGGTAATTGAAAAATTTGTTTTTTTTTTTTTTTTTTTTTGTAAAATTTAATTCTTACCTTGTAACATTACAGGAGGAATCCACCAAAATCCCTTACAAACTTCTACTACATTTATACCTATTCCTGATACTTTAATATCTCCCGATTGCTGTCATTTTATTTCACCAGTTACTGTTTCCTCTTCAAAATCTTCTTCCATCACTAGTAAAACTTTTAAATCCTCTTCAACGAAATCACCTCAATCAGCTTTATTGGAAAACAAGCCTGTAATTTTGGATCCTGTAAAATATAAAAAAGGAGAAAATTTAGAATTTATTAAAAAACAAGAACCTGGCAGTAATTTATGCTTGAGTACGCCCATCCATGACAAAAATGATTCTTATTTTTCAACGTCAACAAGGAAAAAAGGTAGATATAAATGTGGTTAAAATATGTCTTACCGTACGTGAGAGTCTTCGTAACGTTTCTGTTCAGCTTAGAAATAATAATAATAATAATAATAAATATAGTAATAATGACAAAGAATAAATGTTACAGAACAATTGATAAAGGAATTAAAACCATGTGAAAAAACACTTGAAGAAAAAGAAAATAATAAAAGTGCATGCAATAGTTATTGGGCACACCATAAAAAAATTGAAGGTAAAAAATCATATAAAAAAAATTTAACTAATGATAAAAATTCATGTCAAACACAAGAATTTTACTACGCATTGAAAGGTAGTGAAAAAAATTTAGAAGCTAGTGATGTTTGGAAAGCGGCCGTTTGCATACAAAGAAGGTGGAGAGGATATAGAACTCGGAACTTGAATTCGGATGTTTTGACGGGTTGTAAAGATATTCAATTGAACAGAATGCAAGAATATATATTGTGAGTTAGTTCATTTATAAAATTTTTTCAAATTGTTCTCACGAAATCTGTATAATAATGTATAATATTTAGTGTCGAATCGGCAAAATTTAAAATATAACATAATCTAATAACAATATCAGATTTTAATTTTTTTTTTTTTTTTTTTTTTTAAGAAAAGCCATCGACGAGATGGAAGCAACCAGAATCGCTTTAGAAGGCAGTAGAAAAATTCAAATATTACAAATGCAAGCAATTAACGCTTTATGGAAAAAAATGACCGTTTTTCAAATGAATGAAAATTCTGAGAATTCAGTAGTAAGCAAACTTACCCTACAAGAATTAATTACAACTTGTTCCAACTTAAAAAAAGAAGTAGAAAATCTTCAAGTCATGGTAAAAAAAATGCAAGGAGCATCATCGACAACTTTTCAATCTGCTCCTGTGGGTACTCAAACAGAATTAACGACTACGGATAATTCTCGAGGTCAGTATTACGGATAAATTTTTTTCCTTTTTTTTTTTTTTTTTTTTTTTCTAATCTATCTTTTTGAATAGAACGTTTAAGTCATCCAGGAGGAGAAAATCAAATATTTTCTTCTACTGATTCGTCACCTCAGAAAAAATGTGAATTTTTAAATTCTACATCAGGGGAATTAAAAGGATGTGTTTCACCAGTTGAATCTGATGTAAAAGAAATATTTACTAATAAAAGCTTAAAAGGTAAATTTTTATCAGTGAGAGAAAAAAAAAAAAAAGTATTAATAAGTATTATGAGAAAATATTGAAACACATTTATTTTACAGATGAATTTTCTAACGAAGGGCTTTTCGTTGCGCCATTAGTACCTGATCATGAAAATAAATATATTAACAACCAATTATCAAAGCCAATGGTCAAATTAAATGAAGCTGAATCTAATTTATTAAATAATTTAATCAAAATAACTGATTCAAAAGAGCGCGGATCAAAAGAAGTCATTAATTATACAACGGAATCTAATTTTCAAAGTGATGTTTAACATTTTTTTTTTTTTCTCCTCTCAC